TCCTATTTCAGTCTGATGTTCCTGTATAATCAAAGTAGGAAGGAACAAACACAAAGAACTTTGGTGGAACTATTTCTAAAGGAGAATGCATTTTTATGTTTTCACCAGACTATCAGCCACTCTGGATTTTAATATTATAGTGGGGTCATAAGAAGTATTTCCTCTATTGTTGGCTTTATACAGATGCAAAGCCATGCCCAGGAAGCTGGGAGATGGATGAATAGTTGGTTTGATGTGCTTGAGCCATTCACCACTCTGAGTTAAATGTGCATATTCTGTTCAAAATAGACAATGGGGAGGGGCGGTCCCCTTTTCCCTCTCTAACGTGCATAACATCAGGCCACACAGCTTCAACTAATGAGTATTTAGAAGTAAAGGCTCCTACTGATTCCAGCGAGTCATTAATTCTCTGCTTGCAGAGCCACTGTGGAGTTTTTCATCAGCTGCATTTTTCAGCCGTTACCAGTTGCTTCTGAGCAGCAGTGCTGACCCTTGGGTTCCTGTACCACACACCAGACGGCACAATGGGCTTAGAAGTCCCCTTAGAAGGAATTTTACTGGGGACCCGGAACAGATGCCAAGAAGTAGATGGTGATTAGCATTTCCACGTTCTGACCATTCTATTGACAAAGATGTCTCAGAACTCTTGGTTTTAGGGAATTTAATTGCCCTTGAATGAAAACGCATATTTAAACCAACCTATAATCTGGTAGAAGAAGGTGGGTGGAGGTGAATCACAATTTCTCTTCAATTAATTGCACAGTAATAACAATGTTTGCTCTATTATAGTCTCTTTCATCTTGCCTCAGTGGGTTTCCAGTTTTACATGTAATATTCTCTTGGGAACTGAAGAGCACTGTGTCTCTGAAGATGCTCAGTCGACTGCCTTCCAATTTAAAACAGTTCAAATTTTGCCCAAGCAAACATTAAGGGCAGAGAATCATTACTTGAGTATATGTTTACACCAGCATTTGGAAGCTGTTCATCTAAAAGGTCATTTGCAGAACAATTTTGAAGGGTATTAAAAATTCAGGATACTATAATAGGGGGTGTGGTAATTCATTCTTCAATGTGCTTTGCACCATCCAAAATAATTAAAATATTTATTTTGTGGAAAGACCTACTAGTTCATTTAGGTATTATTGAAGAGTCTATCTAACTTAGAGCAAAATTATAACTTGGAAAAGAAAGAGGAGGGGAAAGGAGAAACAAGCAGAAAAGAGTATGAAGCAGTTGCCATTCAAATTCAGATAAAACCAAATCGGACAGGCAAGATACTGTTCTTATGTGGGGGAAATCTCAATTTGTTTATCAATAATTCCCTTCTATTTGAAAGAAAGAAACAACTCAATGCAAGGACTGCCATCGAGTTGGATCCGACTCATAGTGACTCCTCCTTGGGTTTCCAAGGCGTTATCTCTATGGAAGTAGATTGCCCCATCTCCCTTCCAAGGAGTGGCTGGTGGTTTGAACCACCAGCCTTCTGGTTAGCAGTCAAATGCCTTAGACACTACGCCACCAGAGCTCCTTGAAAGAAAGAAGGGTAATTTAAATATAGTGATACTGCCTGGGAAACCCAAGGAGGGGTCGCTATGAGTCAGGTCTGACTCACGGCACAAAACGACAACAAACACATGATGGAGGCATCGAAGACTAGCAGCTCTATGAGCTCAAATAATCAAACCTCAAACAAAACCAGTTGTCAGAGTTCATTCCAACTCATGGTGAACTCGTGTGTGTCCAAGTAGAACTGTGCTCCATAGGGGTTTTCAATGGCTGTGACCTTTTGGAAGCAAATCACCAGGCCTTTCACCCGAAGTACTTATGGGTGGATGTGAACTGTCAAACTTTTTTTTTTTTAATGAAGCAGACAAACTGTTTAAAATATTATAATGTGTTATTAGTAGAGCATTCCTGATTTCCTCTCTATTGACAATTTTTTAAACTATTTTAGTAAGCACTAAAGTCAACCAATAGACATTAGTTTCCAAATGATTAGGTTAAAACAGTTCAAATTGTTACCTTGAAAAGAAAAAAGCAAATAGACACTGCAAATTAGTTATCTGCTGACAGCATCCATACTCCAGTGACTCAGCAAACAATTTAATGTGAACTTCAACAGCTTTTAATCAGTTTCTTCTGAAAGCATGTGATTTGGCCTTTCAAATGACTTTATCAATCATTCCCACGGTTCCATGAATACTAAAAAACAATTAGTTCTTAGCACAAAAGGTTTGCCTATATTAACCTTTAACTCACCCGGCCAGCCACAGGCAGCACTTGCTATTCTGTCAAAGTGAGAAAATGTTAGCAGCTAAAAATATAAGTATGTGCAAAGGCTGTGAAGCATTCTTTTTTTTTTTGATCGCTACCCTGGAATAATGATAATAGTTGGCACTTTTCTTCTTCAGAGGGGAAAGAAGAGACAGCTAAAAATATAAGTATATGCAAAGGTTGTGAAACTTAAAAAAATAAAAAACTATTGCCCTGGTATAATGGCAATAACTAGGGTGTCTCTTTTTCAGAGAGAAGAGGCAGAAATCCCAGCTCTCCTCCCCAGCTCCCTCAAAGATTTGAGTTACAGGGTTTCTTTGTGCCAAAAGTCAGCTATCTACTGCTTGCAATCTAAGGAGAATGCATCAGCATTTCTGGACCACCTGGAACCAAGGGAGGGCTGGGAGATTTCCAGATGGATTGTAAGACAATTCATTGATATTTATACAATGAGAATAAATGTTTTTCCTAAGATAGCATTTCCCTTCAGTGCCTCGAGACCACCAGCAAAAATGGGAGGTACAGAAATTCTATTACATTAATAGTCTTTGTTTTTATGGCTTTGGCATTTATTAACTAGTGGGAGCTGTTTATTGGGTCATAAACTTTACTAATGGGGATATTATCTCTAAATTATAAATCTCCTTCAGTATATGGCTTAGTTATAAAAAGAATAATTATTTAAAGTGTCTGTATGGCTGCAATGTATCATGTTTATTGGCATGATTCTTATAATGGTCATTTAATTGCTAATTGTGGGCTTGGACTGCAAACAGCCAGGGCAGTAAGACACTCATTCTATGGGCTGTTGTTTTGTGCCGTGGAGTCGGACCTGACTCATAGCGACCCCTCCTTGGGTTTCTGAAGCAGTATCACTACGGAAGCAGATTGCCCCATCTTCCTTCTGAGGAGTGGCTGGTGGGTTTGAACCGCCAGTGTTCTGGTTAGCAGTCAAATGCCTTAGGCACTATGCTACCAGAGCTCCCATTCTATAGGATAGAATGAGCAATTATCACACCACAAACTCAGGAGCATATTATTGGTTTGCTTCCCTTCCTTTTCTCCTCCCACTCCTCAAATGAACTGTACTAGTCTCTAAAAGGGGTAAATTATCTACATATCTAAAATCTTGAGGGAGGACAACTCACTGAAGAGTTGAATAGGTAAGTGACAAATCTGTCAGCCTGAAAAGTCACAGGAAAGTGTCATCCTTCTAAAAGCTTGTTCTCCGGGGAATGAAAAATCTTAAAGTGACAAAATGGCTTGGCACTGTCAGTTCTTTTTTTTAAAAAAAAAACAACCTGGGACAAAAATCAAGTTGTCAAAATTAGATCTTATGGGTAGACAGTATATAAATTGAGTCCACTAGTTTATTGGAAAGGCAGATAGTGTCTATTCTAACAACGGCACATGTAGAGTTATCCTAGGTCTAAAGATACAAATAGTTTATTGATTAACTTCAATTTAAAAAAAATGAAAGAACTATTGTTGTCAAGCAAATTGGTACATCTGAGTGCCAAGAAGCCAGCTCATTTCTAGGCAAGATGCTGCTGGAAATGTGGAATGAAAGAATAATGAGACTGAAAGGCCTCTTGAGATGTCATCAGTTACTCCTCCTCTCTTCAGAACAGTCCCTGAAAGGTAAATGGAGCAGGCCCTTCTTTAATGGGCTTCCATTGTCTCTGAGAAAACCAAGCAACTGGGTTTACAATGCACAGGACCCAATATTGAAGAATGGGTGGACTGGGATAAACTTCTTCCACGGAATTCCCAGAGGGTTATGACTTTTAATCACAATGATACTACAAAATGGCAAAAGTTCTGGTGAGACTCATGATGTTTAGGACTAGAAGGAAAATTTTAGATAAAAAAAAAAAAACTAGAGAAATCCAAGGGGGAAAATCTTATAGTTTTAGAATTTTTAATTTTTTTTTAATTCAGCAGGGGTGGGTGGGTGGGTGGGTGTTGCGTGTGTGTAAAATGAATAAAAAAATAATCTCTCAAGTCTTCAGCATTCACACCCCTCAATGTTTTAGTCATATTACATTTTTGGTCACACTAAAATTATATACACATGAATATATTCCTAAGCTAATAAGCTGACTTCAGATATAAAAAGGACATTAAAAATATAAACACTATATGTTTCAGTTTCTCTCCCAAATTTTCATGTGTATATGTGTGGAGGGGTACCTTTTCTTCTCATAGTTTTGTTTCAGAAAATAAATATCTTCACTCTTGACAGAACTTTAAGAATTATTTTGATGAGGTAGGTTTCTACAAAGCTTAATTATGTAAGTAATAAACATGTGTCAAGGAGATTTCAAAAAAATGTTTAATAGAATCACAACTTATTGTTCTGATATAATTTGATGTTCCATTGCCATGTATAGCCATCAAAATTCATTTTCTTTTCATGTTGGAATGAATCAAATTTTGTTGGATGGAAAATTATCCTAAGATTCTTTGTTATTAATAAATCACACATCTAATAAAAATACTAGACATTGCTTCAAATGGCATTTTTAATAGGGCCAGTACATCAGCAATATAATACGATGTTCTGAACACCTAAAAGTGGCAAAAGAAGGTTAATTGTGGTTTATTGATTTCAATTCAATATAAGCCTTGTTTCTTTTTCTGTTTTTAATGAAATTATATCTACTAAAATAAACTTGGTAAAATTAGAGGAGTAAATCAAAGAGAGGTGACCGACACTGGCATGGTTACTCCTCTTCCAAGTCAAACACATCCTTTAAAAGGGCCATGTACCTAACGTATCTCACAGGAATGGGTGATGGTGATCCCATCCACACATCTTCAATTTTCTAAAAAAAAAAAAAAGAAGAAGAAGAAGAAGAAGAATGGATATAATTAGACCATTTTCCAAAGTGCTGTGTTGTAAATGCAACATCAAATTGCTCCTGTCTTTATAGAGGTAACTGGTAAACAGTTTATTTTCAAAGCTGACATTTCTACAGTTCACTTTAGCATAATAAGAAGTTCAGGTAGATGAGTTTCTTGTTCTTAATTCTTCACTCCTTCCTTGTACTAGGATTATACATCAACCCCTTTTACCATATAACTTGGCAGTACCTCCCATTGGAGAACCAGGAGTAAATCTTCCTGCCCCTTTTCACACAGTTTTGGCCACGTGACTAGCTGTGGCCTATGTAACGTTAGCAAATACAGCATGAACAGAGGCTGTAATGTGTGAGCATGATTTGTCTTGGCCACTGTGGCTCTGTGGTCATCATGAGAACAGCATGCCCCATGTTGCTACTAGTACCAGATGTCATAGTTGGAGTAGATCAAGCTCAACTTGCAGCCTGGAGCCAAGCCTAACTGAATTATGGGCCCATGAACAAGAAAAATAACTTTTTAATTTTTTTGTACCACTACAATCTGAGGGGTTGTTTGTTATGAAGCATTACTGCAGTGCTAGCTCCTCCTATATTTCACTAAGAACTCAATTTTAAAAATCCAACCCAACAATAATGCTGGCTACTTGGTTTCTTCAGTGAGAACACCAAGAAGAATAAGTCAGTCTGCTCTTGGGAATAACCTACACACACACACACACACATTTTTTTTTTTCATGCTGCAAATGGTCAATTACAGTTACTAGCAATGGGGGTGGGGGAGAGTCAGTAACTGTGGACATTTACATTTCTACTGTCGAGGTTAATTGCTATCTTATATGTGGTAGTTAAGATTGTGGGTCATCTTGGCTGGGCCTGGTTGAGTGACTGGGCAGCTGGAGGTAGTTATTCCCCTCGGGAGATTGGTAATTAACTCCATGGTGAAATCTACTGAGCAGCTGAATAGCTGCTTTAGGGATGTGGGCTACTACCAGTATATTAAGAAGCAACTTTGAAGAAGGTCTCCAGCTTTTTGGCACACTTGAACCCTGCATGTAGCCAAGTCCTTGTTCAGCAGCCTGACAATCTTGGGACTTTTAATGGACTTCAATTACTGGCCTGCCGCATTGTTTGGTAACATTGGGACTGTGCCTTTTTACTTGTCGATCTTGGGTTTGTCAGCCTTAGCAGCCAGCATCTGCCTGAGTGAAGAAAAGCCTCTAGCTCCAGTGGGCCGGGAGCAGGAGGCAGAGCTGAAGCCCAAGGTTGAGGGGCTTTCACCCAGCCCCTAGAGCCTGACACCTTGAACTCAGACTTAAAACCTCCAAACTGTAAGAGAATGAACTCCTGTTTGTTAAAGCCATCCCATCTGTAGAATATTCCTGTCAGAGCGGCATTAGGTAACCAGAATATTATATAAGAGGTTTTATAACTTTACTAGTATTCAGAGTCAAAGGGTGTCATGGAAGCACAAGTAAAGGCTCATAACTTTATGTGACTGAATTTCAAAAGCAAGCAGAGTTAAGTGATGTTTCAGCTGGGCCTTATAGAATGAGTAGCAGTTCAGCACGTGGCTAAGTGGTGAAAGGTATCCCAGGCATTGTTGTAGTTAGGTGCCGTTGAGTTGGTTTCAACTCATAGTGACCCTAGGTACAAAAGAACAAAACACTGCTCGGTCTTGTACCATGCCCACAACCCTTGCTATGCTTGAGGGCATTGTTGTAGCCACTGTGTGGCAGTCCATCTTCCCTTTTGATGACCTTCTATTTTAGCAAGCATGATATTCTTTTCCAGGTGGTCCTTTCTGACAACATGACGAAAGGACAAGAGATGAAGTCTGGCTATTCTCGCTTCTAAGCAGTATTCCGGCTCTACTGCTTCTAAGACACATTGTTTGTTCTGCTGGCAGTCCAAAGTATATTCAAAATTTCTTGCAACACCACATTTCAAATTCATCAATTCTTCAGTCTTCCTTATTCATTGTCCAGATTTCACATGCATATGAGGCAAATGAAAATACTACAGTTTGGGTCAGGCACACCTTAGTCTTCAAAGTGATAACTTTGTTCTTTGACACTTTAAAGAAGTCTTTTGCAGATTTGCCCAATGCAATATGTTGTTTGATTTCTTGACTGCTGCTTCCATGGACATTGATTATGGATCCAAGTAAAATGAAATCCTTGACAATTTCAATCTTTTCTCCATTTAGTGTGCTGCTGCTTATTGGTCCAGTCGTGAGTGTTTTTGTTTTCTTATGTTTATACATACTGAAGACTGTAGTATTTGATCTTCATCAGAAAGTGCTTCACTTTCAGCAATCAAGGTTGTGTCTCTGCATATCACAGGTTGTTAACGAGTCTTTCCCCAATCTTGATGCTATGTACTTCTTCATATAGTCCAACTTCTCAGATTAACTGCTCGGCATACAGCTTAAATAAGTATGGTGAAAGGACACAACCCTGACACATACCTTTCCTGATTTAAAAACATGCAGTATCCCCTTCTTCTGTTCAAACGACTGCCTCTTGGTCTATGTATAGGTTCTTCATGAGTACAATTAAGTGTCCTGGAATTCCCATTCTTCACAATGTTATTCATAATTTGTTATGATCCACACACTTGAAAAGCCTTCACATAATCAACAAAACATAGATAAACATCTTTCTGGTATTCTCTGCTTTCAGTCAAGATCCATTTGACATTAGCAGTGATATAGCCCTTGTTCCATGTCCTCTTCTGAATCCAGCTTGAATTTCTGGCAGTTCCCTGCCAATATAATGCTGCAACCATTTTTGAATTATTTTCAGCAAAATTTTACTTGCGTGTGATATTGTTTTGATCCTCTGGTGCTGCTCTAACTGAAAATACCACAAATGAATGGCTTTAACAAAGATTTATTCTTTTACAGTTTAGGATGCTAGACGTTTGAGTTCAAAGTGCCAGCTCTAGGTGCTGGGTGAAGGCCCCTCAACCTTGGGCTTCAGCACTGCCTCTTGCCCCCAGCCCACTAGAACTGGAAGCATCTCTTAATCCAGGCAGATGCTGGTGGCTGAGGTTGACAAACCCAAGGTCAACAAGTAAAATGGCACAGTCTCAAGATTATCAAGCAACATGACAGACCACTAGTTCAAGTTCAAAGACAGTCCCAAGGTCAGTAGGTAACATGGCAGGCCACTGAGATAAAGACTTGGCCAAATGCAGGATCCATATGTGCCAAAAGCTCAGAGACCTTCCTCAAAGCTTCTTCTTACACACTGGAAGTAGACCACATCCCAAAGGCAGCTACTCAGCTGCTCACAGTAGATTCAACCATGGAGTTGATTACCCGTCTCATCATGGAATAACTACATCCAGCTGCCCAGGCACTCAAAACCAGGCCCAGCCAAGTTGACACATAATCTTAACTACCACAGATATTAATGATATTGTTCTATAATTTCCAAATTCTGTTGGATCACCTTTCTGGAATGGGCACAAATATGGATCTCTTCCAATCAGTTGGCCAGGTAGCTGTCTTCCAAATTTCTTGGCATAAATGAGTGAGCGCTTCCAGCATTGCATCCATTTGTTGAAAAATCTCCATGGTTATTCTGTCAATTCCTGGAGGCTGGTTTTTCACCAATTCCTTCAGTCCACCTTGAACTTCTTCCTTCAATATCATCAGTTCTTGATCATCTGCTACCAGCTGAAATGGTGCACTGTCGACCATTTTTCTGGTACAGTGATTCTGTGTATTGCTTCCATCTTCTTTTGATGCTTCCTGCAGTGGTGGCATAGTGCCTAAGTCATTTGACTACTAAGCAGAAGGCTGGTGGTTCAAACCCACCAGCTATTCCTCGGAAGGAAGGTTGGGCAATCTATTTCCGTAGAGATACTGCCTCGGGAACCCAAGGAGGGGTCACTATGAGTCAAATCTGAACGACGGCAGTGAGTGTGTCCCCCCCCCCCATAGAATCTTTCAACATTGCAATTTGAGGCCTGAATATTTTATTCAGTTCTTTCAGTTTAAGAAGGCTCTATCCTTTTGATTTTCTAACTCCAGATCTTTGCATATTTCATTATAATATTTTACTTTCTCTTCTTGAGCTGTCCTTTGAAATCTTCTGTTCAGCTCTTTTACTTCATCATTTCTTCCATTTGTTTTAGCTATTTACCATTCAAGAGAAAGTTTCAGAGTCTCTTCTGACATCTGTTTTGGTCTTTTCTTCCTCTTCTGTCTTTTTAATGATCCTTTACTTTCTTTATATATGATGTTCTTCATGTCATCCTACAACTTGTCTGGTGTTTGGTCATTGGTGTTCCATGCATTAAATCTGTTCTTCAGATGGTCTCTAAAATCAGGTAGAATGTAATCAAGGTTGTATTTTGGCTTTTGTGGACTTAATTTTCTTCAGCTCCAACTTGAAATTGCATATGAGTAATTGATGGTCTGTTCCACTCACCTCCTGGCTTTATTTTGACTGATGATATTGAGCTTCTCTGATGTCTCTTTCTGTGTTGTTGTTGTTACATGCCGTCGAGTCAGACCTGTCTCATAGTGACCACTTCTTGGGTTTCCAAGGCAATATCACTATGGAAGTAGATTGCTCAACCTTCCTTCTGAGGAGTGGCTGGTGGATTTGAACCACCAGCCTTCTGGTTAGTAGTCAAGTGCCTTAGGCACTACACTACCAGAGCTCCTGTCTCTTTCTGTAGATGTAGTCAATTTGATTCCTGTGTATTCCATCTGGCAATGTCCATGTGTATAGTTGCCATTTACACTATTGAAAAAAGGTATTTGCAGTGAGTAAGTCTTGCACAGTTCTATCATGTGGTCTCCAGTGTCATTTCTATCACCAAAGCCACATTTTCCAACTACCAATGCTTCTTGTTTCCAACTTTCATATTCTAATCATCAGTAAGTATCAATACATCTTGATTGCATGTTTGGTCAGTTTCAGACTACAGAAGTTGGTAAACAGCTTCAA